GGGGGGGGGGGGGGGTCGGGTCGTCTTACAGTCCAATATATACATGCCAGAGCCAAAGAGAAGTTGAAAAAAGGCAAAAAGCCAGTTTCACACAATACAAACAAGTGCATGACGCAGAAGTCAGAGTCAATTGTAAAATTTCTCAGACTATCAATATTCTCAATTGAAAACTGCTCGACTACGCTGGTCAAACGAAGCTCATTCGATTAGAGAATTAAGCTGGCCGGATATTGCCAACCCACAAAAATGCCCTGTTCCTTCCAAAAGACCTCACTGATACTGACATCGAAAATGATGTCGCGTTCTATCGTCTTTTTTTTTTGTACGTTTGTATTCGTAACGCCGTTCCATAAATTGCGTATACGAGTTATTTCAATTTCGGAAAAAAAAAAAAAAAGAAACATTAAATCTAACGGAACAGCCGAGTTTCTCGACTCGATGGAAATTAAGAATGTAATTTGGCCTCAATCCAGAAAAACTCCAGAAAGCATATTACAGGCGTCTTATACGTTTACTTTGCCTCCCGATCTTTACCAGTAGGTAAGGTAATCCCTGAGTCGGTCGGACGCTGGTATAATGGTGACTCGTGTAAGTTATATACCCTATACCTATATATATATATATAGATACAAATATATATATATATATATATAGAGTAACGGGGTGATTAACGTAATAACGGTATCGTGGTGGGGAGTTAAGGAGTGATTCGATTAGTCAAGATCGGTGTAATAAAGTGCGATTACTTTTCACGATTTACTACTTAAACCAAACCTAACCCCGATACGCGAGATACTTATCTACAGAAAGTGCCTACTAGCCAACCTGAAAAGTACCTACAAAGTACCAATCTATATATATATACGTCATTGTATCTTTCATGCCATTATTTTCCAATGACGGCGAAGAGGGGGAGAGAGGGGGGGGACTACAGGCTGAAAGAATAAGATGAGTTGAAGTAAGAATCGATGAATGAAAATGTCCAAGATAGAAAAGACAGGGATGGTTGAGAAGGAGAGAAAGAGAGAGGGAACAGGGAAGGAAGAGAGACTCAGGATGGGACCATTGATCGATGAAAGAGGAGGGAGGAAGTTGGGTAGAAGGTAATTTGTTTACGGGCCGCATGCGGCTATTTAGTTTGCACAGCAGACACAAAGGACGGAGACTCCGTTGACGGGTTAGGACTTCACTCTCCCTTATTCGTTTACCTTCCCCATCAGATTGAAAGGTAGGTAGATGAGTAAGGCGGGAAAAGTTACGGTATACTACTTTTAAAAAAAAAAAAATCCCTTTCACGGGAACTTTTTCCTTTCCCGTCACTTTGCCCTTTTATTCCCGTTAACCCTCTAATCAAGATGACGATCAGTGCTAATCGAGTTCCTTGGCGGACACGCTTCCACGCAGCTTCGGGCGGAGGGATGACGTCGGAAACCTTCAGCTTGCAGCAACACATAGTGACTTGTAGAGGGTTGCGTGATAAAAGGCACGGGTGCTTAGGGCGCGTAAAAAAGAAATTTATTGAAGATATAACCGTAGGTACATATACATATATACATACATAAATTTCTTATACGTAGTTCTACGGATTTCCCACGAGATGAAAAAAAATTTTTTTTTTATTGAAACTAAAAACATTCCACGCTGCTTGGTTTACAAATTAGACTATTTTGTCACTGAAAATTGTAGTTGGTCGATTATCACTTTCTGTTTGTATA